ACACCACGATGAGTCAAATATGAAAATTAAACCAGTCTGTGTAGCGGTTTGTTAATTACAGCGACAACAAAAAAACCTTACTGATCGCGGGAACCCATATCATTCAATTGATAGATCTAAAAATTTGGCCCGAATAATACGTTTTTTAGAAATTTGATCGCACAAAATTTTCACATTCGGATGAGTATTACTCTAAAGCTGTGCATACTACATACACAAAATATATATACAATTACTCAGATTCGCGACTACAATAATTTTATAATCGATTTATAGAAATTCATGTTAGCGTATTAAAACTAGAAGTAAGATTCAAAAAACACTCAACATCGAGCTTGAAAATGTCAATTTCGTTTAAAGATAGATGCAGTTAAAATTTTGAAAAATGATACATTAGAGACGTAGTCCCCATTTTGTTGACTTCTAGTTTTACTTTGACACGAAGACCGTGAAATAAGTAGCTTAGTTGCAAATCGATAGAGAACATAAAAAACTGGTTTGCCTCATCCTGTTTTTATACATTAAAGTAGACACAGCTTCCACCCAAATAAAGTTTGGAGGTCAATATCATGAAAAGTTTGTAATGACCGATCAGTTAACCCAAAACTATTAACTTTTTTCATATACTTAAGTAATTCCCGAGTTATAAAGGGGTGAACCTCGTTTTCAGCTATGTTAAAAAATTGGCAATATTGCCCATATATTTTTTAATTTGAATCTATAGCTTATCAAGAATGTCTCTAAAAATTTTAAGTGGAATTTTCAATAACACCAAGATATAATCGATTTATTGTAAAAGCGACACGTGGCAGCGAAAGCGTTTCTCAACTCTTTAGTTCCGTTCCAAAACCTAAAAGAATCTACCAAGGTGTATTTAATAAGGTGTATGCATCAGCTACAACAACTAACATTTTACAAAAACAACATTGCTGTTATAGAAATTAAATTGTCATGTTGACAATTAGTTTTTGCAAAAATAAACAAAAATAATTATCCATTTATGTTTATTAATTTCTGTCAAGAACTATTCTTTTTTTGGAGATTTGCCTTCAAATTTCGCCTCCTTAATGAACGTTTGGTGGACATAAATCCCCGGCCAAAGACTAAATCAAGGAAATTGTGTTGCCCTTGTGCAACCTGGCACATTTGGATTGATACCAATAGACAAATTCCAATATAGGCTACATATGTATGTGTAGCTAGGATTTATGAACAGCTTTCAACACGGGATACAAAACATAAACTATTTGGATTAAATCAGCGAACGGTTTTAAAACTGATTTAAGCCTTTTTCGTCAGTTGCTATGAACATATTTTTTATCAAAATCATAAATTTGAAGGCAATTTTGTAAATCGTAATTACAACGTTACCTAAAATTCGACGGGGCGTACAGAAAAATTCAACTTCCCCACTTTTGCAAAATGTTTTGTACGGCCGTATTACCCAAATACGTCGAATCGATATCTTCAAGCGAATACATGGTATAATAAAAGAAGGTAACAGCAAGTGTTGTTGTACAAAAAACGATACAACAACCACATGGAAATTTGTTGTTGTAAGTTCTACTAGTGTCAACACATTTGACAGAAAAATGTAAACAAACAAACAAATTATTTTTATTTTGAAAATGAAATATTTTCGAATCCTCAAAATAAAAATTGAAAAACATGAATGAAAATCTATCAAATTTATATTTCTATCGCTTCCACATCTTTCATATAATTGAGCCATTGCCACTTATATGTGTAACACATATAAAAATGCAGGGAATTGCGAGTTATTCCATGAAGAAAGATTTGCTTCCCCAAACTTTCCCAGCAGGCAGATTGAGTAAATTGAATACGGGACTACATTCAATAAAGAACTTTTACAAATGGTATGCGTTCACAATTTTCCTGTTGGGTGATTTTTAAAAACATAATTTGTCAAATTCACATTGACACTAGTATTACGTTGGAATCAAAGCAGCTGGGATTTGCTGTTACCTTTTATAATTGTACCATGAAGCGAATAATAGAAACCGCAAAACAAAATCGAAAATTTATTGAAGTAATCCAAATATTTTACGTTCACTTTCGAAATTTCATATTTTCTGAATGTTTTGTTTTTATTTTCAACAAAAGAAAAAAACAAAAAATACGCTCTGTCAAAGTTGAAAATTTTCAACTTTAAATTTTGTACGCTCGACGTATTTCGGTAACATTCATAAAAAATACATGTGTTCTACTTTTGTGGTGAAAAACATCGAACGAGCTAGTTGAATTTTAGGTAGGTAGGTTTTTGACAATTTACTTTACAAACAATAAAGAAAAAAGTTTAAAACCATATGATTGTCACTTACACCTTATTTAATACACCTTGGAATCTACTAATTTTACATGTTTTTCAACTTTTTACTCGAAAACCGTTCCTCAACCCACAAAACTGGTAAAACGTTGACTCAAATTTAAGAGAGCACAAAAAAATGGCGTTCTCTTTGTAAACTTTTTACTCGAGAAATTTGGTCGAGTAAAAATGGCAAACAGGAATGCCTACTTCTGATTGGCTGTTATGTTGATTTTGAAGTATTGCCATCTAATTTTGGCATATTTACTAGATTTGCGTTCCCGAAGTTTTCAAATTATTTTGTACTCTGAGAGCAATTTTGAAATATTTCCCTCTTACTAGATTTACAATAAAAAAGTACTGGAACAGACCATTTATGTGTGTTTTCTCGAAAAAGCGTTTTTATTAATGTCGGGCACGATAACTCAAACCCTATTAATCCAATCGATATACATAGGTCGAAAATATGCGATTTCCACAAAAATACTTTTTTTAGGTCCGCCATTTTGCTATTTTTCTAGCGAAGTCAATAAACATAGTTCATACCAGAGCCTGGTATTTACTTTTTCTAATTGCGTTGGAATTTGGAGATTCGTATGTTCCTCGCATAGAAAAATAATATTTCTTCAATTGCACAACAAGACAACAACAACAACATATTTCTACTTATTTTCTTCTTTTTTAAGTCATCAAATTCTTGTAAAGAAAGTTACGCGTCTTTGACATAATAGGTTCGTTCGTTTACTCAATAATTTGTACGAATTTGTACAAATTATTACAAAATGTTGTTCGTTTACCCAAAAGTCCAGTAAAAGAGAGTGAATTGAGAGAGCAGATTTGACAGTTGTGTTACTGAATATTTGGAAATACTTACAAGGAAAATTTACTCAGTAACAATTTTCTTGTACCATCATCTGATATTTAATCAGCTGTTTTGTTATGTTTTGTAAACAAACAAAAAATTGTTCTCAAGAAAATTTATTGTTTTTTTAATTTTATTTTGATTTTGTATCATTAAATACCAAAATGGATGAAGAAAACGCAAGTATTTAAAAATAAGGTAATATAAGAGTAATTGGCGAACGATTTTTTAGGTTCCAAATCCAAACAAAAAAGTGTGCATCCCTAACATGTCTGCGCCAATTTGTTACTTGTTTTAATCAGCTGTGTCGAAACAATCTTTTTACTGGATGTTGTTCGTTTACTTTTTGCAGTTTTCTCTCTTGAGAAGGAAAAAATCATATTTACTCTCTGCAAATTCTTACTGAGTAAATATTACTGGGAAAGTAAACGAACGAACCTAATGTATGCTCATTTTCCAGAAGGTTTGTCGAAATTTTAAATAGAGATGTCCTTAAAACAAAATTGAAAGCATTTTGACAGGTCAGGTGAAATCATGTGGATTTATCGTATAACCTTATAATTGGACTATGATTTGTGATTTATTTCTACCACAAAGTTGTTAGTACAAATAAATGCCAAAAATATTGTAATTAAAAAACAAAATATTAAAAACCAGAATTATAAACGAAAATCTCCAAATTCAAATAGGCCATTTAAGTTACACAATATTATTAGTCCAGAAACTCATACTTATTCGGAATAAATTTGATGAAACTGATATGTCAGTTGTTTGTAGTACTAAATTGTGATGTGGTTACCTTCTTAAATATGCCTTATCCCCATCTGTCAAATTTGTTTACGTTCTAAAACGAATAAGTCATGGCACAATGAATAGGTAGTCCATTTAGAGCAGCTGATGTCTTGATTAACTGTCAAAGTGCGTAATTTCTACTTGAATTCGATGTGCAATGTTGCCAACCATGTGAAATATTATAAGGAAAAATTTGACAGAAAATTGAATGCAGTTTGACAGGTCGTGTGAAATCAACTGGCCTTATCGGACGACCTTATAAAAGGGCCATGGTTTTTGATGAAGTAGTTTTTTTTAATAAATGCAATTGTCAGCTGTTTAGTAAAAATATATTTGGAATTACTGTACCATGAGCAAGGTTCCACAGCCAAACACAGTTTGTGAAAAATATATAATTTACTCAAGAGAATTGTTGGACATATTTTGTTTTCAATAAAAATAAAAGCGACATAATAAGTTATATTTGCTGTTAGAGCATTGGTGCCCGCTTCTAGTGAATACAAATAAGACCAAAAGAAGGACATAAATAGAGTGAAATCAGATCGCCTTAATAATAAAAGATTGAATTCCATAAGAATGTCCAAATTATGTAAACTTTTATAAATAAAGTGGTATGAAAGCAAAATATTGGGGAGTCTTGCTTCATGTTGGAAACCCATTGACTGTACGTTTACTTATCTGCTCAGAAATCGATGTTTCATCACCTGGACCACTTGATCCGAAATGCAAATAATGTAAACACTCAATATTTTAAAGGTATTGGCTGTGGATGCGCTTGTTTCGCTTCCAGTTTTAACATTCGATTCTACTCTAGATACAAGTTTGTTCAATGTATGCATAATCGAGTTTTTACTTGTCACATGAAGGCTGCTCTCCACGGGACTACATCCAGGCATTTCGGATAATACATGAAATCTCTACATAACACCGAAAACTGTCCTGGCAGATAATTTATTTGTTACATATAAATAATATTTACCATCGACGGTAAATTAGCGACCATTCCATTTTATTCCATTAGTAAGTGACAGCAATAGATCAAAGTTGAAGCAGCAATGCGAACAAAGCACTTCATTGTGGTTCTTTGCTGTACTGTTACCTCAACATTATTATTTATCATTTTGGGTACAAGCGAATCAAGTGACTTAAAAAATATAGTTTCACACACTCATCAACAAATAAATAAGATCCAGGTGAGGACATTGTTTTGTGTTGTAGTCCAATAACTTATGTGTTTTGCATGTTCTTCATTCCTTTATATTTCATCAATCGATATAATTTTTTCCAAACTTATTTTCTAGGAAAATTTGCGTGTTTCTGAGGAAAAGAAACTTGATATTGACTCGAAATATCTTACCATATTGGGATTTACAACGTCGACGTCGTCGGCTACTTATAATGCTACAAAAAATGCACTAACTTCAGATTACTACAAATATGAGGCCCGAAATAAAGGGGAAAAACACTCATACAAATATCCGGGTTATATGCTTGATGTAGAACTTTTACCAAACTCGAAAGAGGAAACAGAGAACTCTCAATCTCAAGTGCATACTGCTGCGGCACATTTATTTAATGGCACCAAAGTCAATTTTACCATTGTTACATACGTCCAGGAAGGGCAGGCTCCGTCTGCCATTCTTTTGTCGCAGAATATTGCTTCAAAATTTCCAAATGAATATTTAATGATATACGATCTTGGTTTATCCGAAGAGGAATTACGAGCTTTGACCGCGTACTGTAACAATTCCCGATGTACTGTAATATCGTATGATTTGTCAGTATTCCCATCTCATGTTGCGGACCAAAGGATGCATGCATATCGGCCGATCATAATAAAGGATGCTCTTATACGCTCCAAGTCAATTCTGTTTGCCGAGAATTATATAAGGATTCGGGGAACAAGTCGAGATTTAAGTGACTTACAAAAACATTTGCACTTGGTAGGAGTGTTAGGGTGGAACAGCCCTACCGCCGTTTCTACACGTACACACCCAAAAATGTTCGATTACTTTCAAACGGATGCAGACGATTTTATATTTTTGAGGATGGTGGATCTGGATACTGTCCTTTTTGAGGATACAGCTTTTGTTGCCGAAAAAATACTCTTGCCCTGGATTAAATGTGCGCTTACACTAGAATGTATAGACCCTATCGGTAAGTTGATTTGTTGTGCGTTATTTTATATTTGATTGAATGGTGTCGAGGCATATACAACTAGCGGGCCCAGCGAGCTTCGTGTTGACTCACTAAGAATTTTTAATTAAATTTATGAATCCTATCTGCATGATAGATGCACGGGCTACATTCACAATTGCAAATATCTGTTGCAAATTCGTACTTTATTCTTAATATTATTCAGCTTTACTTATTTCTAAGAACCAACCTAAAGCATTATTTCATTAGAAATAGGTGCATCGAGATAAATTTATTAATCAGAAATACATTCAATTGGACTGAAGTTCATGAAATATGATAATCCCATGATTAATTTTTTATTTTATTTTTATTGCGCATCACTTCTCGACAAGCTGTATACAGTATATAGCCTATGATTCAGTAGGTATAATTATCGCGTGCCTATATTTTATAAAATGTGACTGTAGGATAATCTTTTTGTATTATAAAACTTCAATTTAACACAAGGTTTAAAATTTTTATTGAAACATAGTGACATATGTATATTGGTATTTTATGATGGAATTAAAATATGCATTCAACCATATTCAGTATCGTTTGAAATAAAAGAAAAAGTATATTTTGTGACATATAAACCTGTAATATGGTTTTATAAATTCTCTGATAATGTTGTGGATAAATATATATTTGCAAAACAATTGTGTTAATTGCGAATCTACCTTCTGTTTCCAATCAATTGTAAAACATAAATAAATATACGAACAACATCCATATAGAGGTTTAATGCTGCAAATATGTACTCTTCAGGACTTATGCTATATTTGTGGTCGCCACCCATCATAATTTGTGTGTCGTATATGAGGAAAACACAGGCTAGCAAAGCTCCACAACCGGCATATATGGTCTGTACAATATGTGCTCTCCAAAACATTCCGACAATGCCAAATATCATTAGACAGACAAGAGCAGCAATGAGAAATCCACCCCAGGCAGTGAAGTCGTACTTTGTTTGCATTGCAAATAACGTTAATGCCAAGCACAATATCGCCGTTATTCCCACAGCCAAAAATACCTTCAATTAGATTAAATTCAGAATTGTCGTTTCCATCAAAATATTTCAACATTTACCGCCTCTGAATTATAGCGACTGGCTATAGCACCAACTAAGAAAGATTCGGCCAAAGTGAACACTCCAAGGCATATAAAATTGACAGGGAATGAACGTCGGGCAGATTCACAGCATGCCATCGCTATCACAACAACCAGTGTAGTTATTGCAGCTGCCAATACTAATCCTGGATTCTTTTGCGAAAAACGCAAAGTAGGCTCGTGGAAAAGGAACAGTGCCACCATTCCGAAAGTGAACAGCAATTGAGCCTAGAACAAATAAAATCTATATTTAGCATTTTTGCCATTTGCCTTTCCCCTCAACTATACATTCCATTACCATTAGTATGAGGTATACTTTACGTATGAATCCCTTGCGTACACTTTCCTCATTAAAAGAAAAGTTCTTTGTTTCTAAATTTTCTGGATCCAAGAACCCCCCTCCACTGGCCGGAGAATTGGCCCCTGGCGCGTTCGGCTTCCATCCGTATGGCTGCTCTGTAAAGATAACAAAATAAAACCTAACTTAAAATGCGAATAATATGTATTCTGCATACACACATATATACGGTCATTTCAATATGTACGACTTGACCATTAACTTGCACAACTTGAACCTGTTGGAAGAGTGAAAGATATATTCACCTGTTGTGGGACCCTGTGCCTGCTGGACACCGAAAACCTGATGCTCATATCCTTGTTGCTGACTCATATTGATAATTGATTTTTACTGAAAAATATATGAACTGCAAGTAAAATGGCTTGTTCCTACTGTGAGGTATTAGTGATGCCAACCCAGCGCGTGAAACTAAAACGTCGTTTTAAGTCACGACTGAATTAGTAGACTCGTGACGTTTCAATGGTGTACGTCAGTGTTACCGTTGGGAATTTTAAAACAGTTTCCCTTGGAAAAAAAGTCGCCCAGAAAAGTAAAATCGTCAATAAAACTGTTCCTAGAATATGTCAGATTCGCTTGGACCTCCAAAACGAAGAAGACGAATCCAAATAAGTTTGAATTAACACATAAAAAAGAAAATATAACTTAAGAAAAACAGAAAAGAAAAGTCGCACAAAACTTGAAAAGTTGCAAACAGAGTTACAGAGTATCAAAAAGGTTGCAAATTGCGACTTTAGTCGCACAACGGTAACCCTGGTGTACATAACCATGATGCAATAATAGGGGGATGTATCAAAACAAAACCATTTTTTGTCTCGATTATCTGTCAAATTGTTCCATATAATATTTAACATGGTTGGCAACATTGCACATTGAATATAAGCAGAAATTATCCACTTTGACAGTTAATCGAGACATCAGCTGCTCTAAATGGACTACGTATTCATTGTACCATGTACGTAACCATACGATTAAAGCATTCGGTCTTTATCAGTCCCGATCCACACTGAAGTAATTTAACGAAACAAAATACATGAACTTATAGTACATTTACATTGTACTAAATTTCTGATTTAACCCGGTAAAAAGTTCTAATGTACATGCCGTTTATGTCAACAAATCACACCATGAAAAATAAATAAAATTGTTATCATGGCCCAATATCAATGTCATCCAGAAGACGAATTTCAGGAAATACACAACTCAAAGTTACTTCTTCCATCAAATCAAAATACATATTTTAGTATGTGTGTGTATTGTTTTGAATACCATGTCAAATAATTTCAGAACTAAATTGAAATATATTCAAATTTAATTGAAATGAAAATGATGTTCTTAACTCGGAAGTAATTACTTTGTTATGGATGAAACAAAGTCCTGACTTAGATTAGGCGAGTTTACTTGCGGCAATTTTTATCGTTCCCTTTTGAAATTGCTTCATGCGTCTATACAAGGCAATTTTCAAAACATTTTTTTTTATATTTTGTGCATGTTTTTTATGTTCGAAAATGTTCTGGATTGGTATTTCGAATACACAAAACAAATTGCCAGAAAATTGTCGGTGCGAGCATTTTTTTTTCCATTTCCATTCTCCTTTCCCCTCTTTCCTGCAAACAAAAACTTGCCGCAAGTGAACTCGCCTAATCGAAATTCGGACAAATATTTCATGGTATTCCCTACTGGATTTTCGAAAGAAATCATAACCTTTGATTCATTTTTTCGCTTTTTTAGTTATGTATTGAAAAAGTGTCAAATAAACACAACCACTTGTTGTGTATATTTATTTTTTATTTGGAAGAAGAAGCCAATACCTACGTAGTTGTTTTTTTGTTATTCATGCTGCTCAAGCTGCTATCTTAAAAAATTGACAAATTATTTTTCACTTTTTGAATGTGCACAACAACATTTAAACACAACACAGATTTTATCAAAACAAATAATTGATTTTTTCCCACTTATGATAAACATTTTGTGTATTTTATAATTTTAAAATAAATTGAAAATTATATCGGTGCCTTTTCCAAAGCTATCTATGGTTATTTTTTCGAAATACAAAAAAAAAAAAAATGGTAGATATCAGCTGGCCTTAATAATCGTTGGACAATTAGTGCATTAACTTAGTCCACAGGCAGATTTTTATTTGGCAAATTTTTTGTTGTCTCTTTTGAAATTTTCGCTTGCTTTTCCATTAGCAAATTTTTCTTTGCCAAATTTGCGAATCAAAATACAAAAGAAAGAAAATAAAAGTCAAAAGTGTTTGCATTTTAAAGATTTTTTAATATTTTATTTATTTTTTATATATTTTATTATATAAATTGCAAAAATTAAAAATTAAATTTCACTTGCACAAATTAAAGCAACAGGTTTGTAAACAAAAACCGGCTGTGTGTCAGTAAAGTGAATAGGTTCAAAAGGAAATGTCAACAAAATTATTTTCAACGAACAGAGCAAAGCAGAATTTGCGTGTACAGCAAATTCTGAACAGGCAAATTTTTGTTTTTCTTCCTCGCACCCCTCTCGCCTACAAACTCAGTATTAGCCAAATAAAAATTTGCCTGTGGAAAAGCAGACTTACTAAATTTCGTTCAGAAGTACAACACTGTACCATGGTCCAATTAACAGGTCGTGTTAGAGGCGAAATTATTTCACCCGAAATGTCAAAATTTGACTTAATCGTGTGAAAACGTTTGAGGGATTTTCTACCAAAATGGCCGATAATATTAGCCTCTTACACGACCTGTTAATTGGATAATGCACTACATCTATTGTCAAAGGTTGTACTTGGAGCAAGAATCGTATTTGGAAATTATTGTTTTTTTTTCCAAATTTTAAGCGCGTACAACACAAATTGGTCACCACACTATCAAGAATCTTCTAATTTTTACTATACGTTTCATTATCATAAATAAAAAATTGTTATCGTAGTAAAAAGTTAAACATTCCTGCGAGTTCTGGAGCAGGCATCATGGTATATTTATAAGTCGATTTTTTGTATTGAAAAGTCTATATATAAAGTATTCGCTATGCCTCACCTACGGATATAAACATTTGATATAAATATCAATTTTAACTATAAAAAATATGTGTTTTAATTTTAATAATATTTGTCGTTATATGACATGTCTGGCATAAAGGAGGGTGTAACTTTATATTTGCTATTAATCTTTAATTTTTTTTTTGGCATGTACAATGAATGAAAGAATCTTAATCTGACGATTTTTCTTTATAGGTGCGCAGTCAAATGGTTGCAAATATAACAAGAAGCCACAGTATCGCTATTCCGGTTGTCATAGCTATGATACATCTGCATTCAATATTGTTCTAGGCTTAACATGGCATCTAGATGACTCAAAGTATTCACTGCCAAGTAAAAATTATAACATATTTTATAAAGAAACATTGGAGCAAGCAACAAAGATTCTCGAAAATCGAAGACGAAACAGTAGTGAAACATCCGAACACCCATTCACAGATGATTAATTTGTTTAACCGTAGTATATTAATACTCCTTGAAGCACCGCTTTAAGTAATATAACCAAATCCGATTGCATAGTCCTCAGTGACCGGACAATAAATTTTTTAAATTTCTTTTTTATCTCGCACAAAGAAGAATAATAATTTGCGGAGTTAGGAATCAATATCCCAGAATCATATATAAATGTTTGCCATTTCCTACTCTAGTTGCATTTTTAAACCTTCGCTGAACAATCGGTAAAAATGTTTCTGAATACAATAATGTATGTGGCGGGTATACAATTTGCATACGTTTTGTTACTGCATCCGATAGTTTATATCAAATCATCCTATGAATTCCTGCTCGTGTCGTGATAACAAGATATTGAAAAGAACCTAAATTATGTTACTAGAATCGTCCAAGATACGTCACAAGTTACTTGATACAAATAACGTCAACCTAACACAATATTAAATGTCCAAAAATACTTACAGACTTACTCGGCTGCATGACTGCTTTTCGGGGATGATTTTTTGTTTGTTATCAATGTTACAAGCAGAGACACAATATCGCTCGTATATATTTCTTAAACATAAGTATAATAATTTTCTTAGAGAAAATTAAAAACAATTAACTTAACTAGTATTGCAATTGAAATATATAATACCGTGTATTTTTAGAATAGTATAAATGTAATATTGTTTGTAATTGAGGAGAGTGATTTTTGTTAATATTATCTTTTATGTTATTATAATTATTATTTATGCCTAGCAAGTAGTTAAATTTCGATCAAACGGCACCACTTAATAATACTATTATTGAATTCCCAATTTATTTGTGAAGATCCCAAATGATGGTGGTCAACTTAATTGTGATTTTCAGTTTAGTCAGACAAATGTATAACTTAAATGCGAATGGAACATGTAAGACAAAACATATTTCTGCAAATACAAAGTCGAAAGGTATATTATAAGAAGGATACAATAAAACTATTATTTATAGCTTAATACCATTATGCGAACACAATAACTAATTATTATTTTGAATCTATTATTGATACACAGTAAGTAAATCTGAAAAACGTTCATACTTCAATTTCTGTGCGACGATAGGAATGTTCTCTGCCGATGTAATAGCATATTCGTAATACAACTTGTTCATAAATTACAGAACGGGGCATATTATGACAGTCGATATCGAGTAAGTTTTTAATCGACAATAAATTTCGATACAATCATACCACAGGATGGACACCATCCGATCGGAATTGTTCAATTATTCTGGACATCAATTCCCCGTGAATTTGTTCGCTCTTCCCTTTAAAGTTAGTCTGAAAAACAGCTGGCAACGATTTTTTTCGCATTTTCGCTTTATAGTTATTCTGAATAAAGTTCGAAAACGAAAAAAAATCCACTATAAAGCAAATAATTATTCTGGATTAGCATGATCACCATTATCGAAAATCCGAATAAGGGGAGGGGCGAGAGCAAGGTAGATATACAAGGTAGCCGCATCGGCGAATTTCTACAACAAACATCAGTTGTTGTATTTTGATATGTCAAAAATATTTTGCCAAAACAGATTGACATGATTTTTTTACACAAATTCTTGTTGAAAATGTTAATAAAAGTATTGCCAAAAAATCTATTCGAAATTCGGAGATTTTCATTTATAATTTTGTTTTTTAATTTTTTGGTTCAACATTTCAACAACATTTTTGACATTTATTTGTCCAACAGCTGGGCCGATGCGGCTACCTTATTAAATATACCTTGGGCGAGAGTAAGTGGCAATTGATCTATCAAAAGCATATTTCCTCTGTTGCATGAACTCAATTATGTCCTAAATATCAGGTCATCCAAAAGGCGAATTCGTAGAAAAGTACAACACTGCACCTACATCTATTGTCAAAGGTTGTACTTGGTGCGAAAATCCTATTTGAAAATTATTATTTATTTTCCACATTTTTAAGCGCGTACAACACAAATTGGTCACCACACATTATTTTCGTAACAAATTCAATTGTTTTTTTTCTATAATTTATTGGCATTCAAATCAAAACAAGATAGTTTGACAAAATATGTAAATATCAGTTGTCCTTGTTGGATTACCTAATGTATAGGCATTGGGAGACACAAACGCACAGGCATATTGACCTGAAATGGAAATCTTGAAGTTTTTGGCGGATTTATTGATCAAAAAATTCTTCAAATATTCGGAATTAATGAGTTTTATGCCTTTTTATGGCGAAATATCATTCATGTAAATGTTTTTTCTTATTTATTTCTCTTTCGAGATGAGGTGCATGATCGAAGTTGCAATGAAAGCCAGAGAGATACTACATCCCCACCATTTACTTAATTAAATTGTGCAAAAAAACTATAAACGGGGTAATATTTTAAATGCTAATTTGTGTAACAGTTTATTTATTGTTATAAATTGATTGTGCATCTTCCCTGGTATAACATTTATTGCCGCATAATTTTTTAAATCTTCCGATGGATAAAATAATTGTCCTTTACTTTTAAAGGTATTGTCATTGAAATTTTTCAAATGATTTGTTCATTAATTGAATAAAATTCAGGTTGTACAAATTATTGATTTATCAAAAACACCTAATGTGATGTTAATTCACAATAATAATATATTTTGACAGCAACCTTGCGAAACAGATGATCTAAATGTGTGACTCCAGTAGACCTACATATCCCTGGGAATTCAAAACAAAGTGTCATAACTATGACCAAAAGTCTAAAATTTGAATAATAGAAAAGAGCATTGAATCGATTTGATAATACCGAATTCTTCAAATATCTTCTGTTAGAATTGAAAATTTAGTAAAAATGCAACTACGGGCTGGTTTTCGTACATTAAGAAATACTTGGCAAAGGCATGTGTAACGTAGCAATGTATTTGCGTTAAATAACCTCAATTGTTTTTGTTTTAGTTCTCCGAGTTTAGTACGTCGTTTATTTGCAACAGAAACGTCCACTGATGAAATCGGAGGTGGGACAGGCATTGGAAATATAACCGGTGCCTTGCGTAAAAATGCAGACGGTTTGTACACGGTTAACGAACCTTCGACAAAGGTGGTGACAAAACTGCCACCTTTGACGCAGGCATTCAATAAAGGAAATATTGAGTACGAATATGCCAAACCGCTGGAGGAGGGCTCCACAACCAAAGTAACGGTATTAAAGAATGGTTTGCGTGTGGCATCCGAGCCTAGGTTTGGTCAATTTTGCACTGTTGGTTTGGTGATTGATTCCGGTCCACGTTATGAGGTGACGTATCCTAGTGGCGTATCACATTTTCTTGAAAAGTTGGCGTTCAATGTAAGTTTACATGTTCATATTTGCAAAATGACTGAAATGAAATCGATTTCTTTTTCAAAAAGTCTACAATAAACTTCCCTAACAAAGATGCCATCTTAAAGGAACTGGAAAAAAATGGTGGCATTTGTGACTGTCAGAGTTCTCGTGACACATTAATATATGCTGCAAGTATAGATAGCCGGGCTATCGAGTCAGTAACTAGACTTTTGGCAGACGTTACACTGAGACCAACACTGCATGACGATGAAGTACTATTAGCTCGACGAGCAATTCAATTTGAATTAGAGACATTGGGAATGCGTCCCGAGCAAGAACCCATATTGATGGACATGATACACGCTGCCGCTTATCGGGAAAATACTTTAGGTCTTCCCAAATTGTGTCCACCACAAAATTTGGACTCGATTAATCGTGATGTTTTAATGAATTATTTAAAATACCATCATACACCTGAACGTATGGTAATAGCAGGTGTTGGGGTAAGTAAATACTTACATGCTATATATGTATGTACAAATACAATATTGCTAATTATTTAACATAACTGTTGCCAGTTTAGAATTGGTGAATTGGATGTCCTAATTGAATAATGTTGGATGTTACAACTTCAATATAAAAAAAATCATTGCTGGTATTGGTAGTAAAAGTAGATAACAAAATGCCATAATTTTTCTACATATATACATATACACGATAAATACGATTAATATAGGAAACAAAGTTCCCTCCATTCTTTACGTTGCAGTTCAAAGAAAGTTGTATCGAAAAAATTCATTTATATAGGTGTAAATTTGGCAAAAAAAAAAACATCCGGTTTATTTCACTCCGATTTCTTCAAAAAATATTTTAACTGTAGAGCCGTATTTATTTTTTTAATTCTTTAATTCATTCTTGTTTTAAAGGTTTTTTGTCTGTTACGTCCTTTTGACATGATATTTTCTGAAACAAAAGGACAAGTACAACACAATTGTAGTACAACAAAGTGACTAATTATTATTCGATTGAGACTAAAATGTGTACAGCGTAATGAAATCGGTTCAGATTTAGACATAGCTCCCACACCCTATACTTGTATCGATTTCCTCGAAATTTTGCGTACAGTATTGAGTCTAGAGTGATGTGTTTTAAGTTTCGTGAAAATCGGTTCCGATTTCCATATAACTCCCATATACAGTTTTGAGTCTAGAGTGATGTGTTTTAAGTTTCGTGAAAATCGGTTCCGATTTCGATATAGCTCCCATATACAGTTTTGGCCGATTTTATGTAAATGTTGCACTAAAGACTTTAAATATTTCTCCTATAGCGATAGAACTTTGCACAGGGTACTTTTCCACCCATTGGAAAACAAAAATACCTAAATATTGCTGATTAGTTAAAAAATTAAGAAAAGCTTTAACGTACCGAATTTTGGTGTACCGCTGTATAGGGGCTACCGTAAAAAATTGGTCGATATATGTATCTCATTTTCAATATAAAACATCCCAGAAGTAACATTAATATCAGAAGTTCAGAATTTCTATCTTCAATATTGCGAATTTTAGTTTTTCACAGGAGTGTAGTTACGTCTGTTTGCATTAAGGGAACCCCCCCCCCCCCATTCTCGATTTTTTATTTTTAAGATTTTAAATGGGCTGGTAAATGAATACCAATGCTTGTTAAGGTTTGTAACTTGGCACATATATATTTGAAGATTTAAAAAGGAAGAAAAATAATTTACCAAAATTTTTTCTTGTTGTTTTGTTGTTGTTTTTTGGGTTCAAAGAAAAGTCCTTATTTTCGATGGCGGGCATGATAACTCCTCACTGGAACATCGGAATCCGAAAATTCCAACTGTGTTAGAAAGAGGACATGTCTGGCTCTCGTATGAACTAGGATTATTGACTTCGCACAACAATTAACAAAATGGCGGAACTTTGAAAATTTTTTTATGGAAAATCGCCTATTTTTACCACAAACTAAGTTAAAAAATAAGGAAGATCTTCACCGATTGGCTTTATCCTAGTTCATACGAGAGCTACACACTCCCAGAGAAACGTGTCAAAATTTGAAACCGATTGGATTACTAGTTTTTGAGTTATCGTGCCCGCCATTCGTTTTGAGAAAAACGCGTTTAAAGTTTGAGAAGCCCTTTAGCCGTCACTTGATGCTGACACAATAAATCGGCTATATCTTCAAGAGTTCTTGAGATTTTTACTTGAAATTTTGTAGGAAAAAAAATTTTGACACCGATAATGGGGGGGGGTCCCCTTAATAAAAACATACTATTGTAGTTACGGCCGTTTGAATTTCTTTAATTACTTTGACGTTAGATGTCGAATTTTTTGTCTGAACATGTAGTTTGATTAGACGGACAATAATCAAACAAAAAGTCAATTTCGATTTTTTCTGTAGTTACGTCCGTTTGCATTTATGATGACGACATGTATGTTTTGAATATCATGTCAAATAAATTCAAAGTAAATTGAACTGTATTCAAATTTAATTGAAATGAAAATGTTCGTCTGGAAATGACTACTTTGTAATACATGATACAATTATAAAAGGTAACAGCAAATCCCAGCTGATTTGATTCCAACGTAATACTAGTGTCAATAAGAATTTGACAAATTATGTTTTTAAAAATCACCCAACAGGTAAATTGGGAACGCATACAATTTATTTATTAAATGTCCTCCCGTATTCAATTTACTCAATCTGCCTGCTGGGAAAGTTTCTTCATGGAATAACCCTGGAAAGATGTGGAAGCGATAGAAATATAAATTTGATAGATTTCATTCATGTTTTTCAATTTTATTTTGAGGATTCAAAAATATTTCATTTTCAAAATATAATTTGTTGATAATTTGTTTATATTTTTCTGTCAGTGCTCATCTGTTTGTATAGTAGAGTGGCTCTAGTTTTGCCCAAGCAATAATTTAGACAATTTCCTTTTCCATTCATTATTATTTATTTTGCAATTATGCTTTTGTTTTTTAAGTGAATAAATTATTTTATTTTTTATTTTTTTTATTTATATATTTCATAGTGCCCAGTTTTGCCCTTAAGGCTGTAATACATTTCACAATTAAATATAAAATTTATCGACAATTTCCTTTTCCATTCATTATTATTTTGTTTTTTAAGTGAATAAATTACCCGATTTAAAACTGAAAAAACCCAATACGATATGTTTATTTTTGAAAAAGTTATACGCCATTTATTACCTTGCAATTTCAGTTGTTTTAATTCTGGCCACCAGTGTATGTAGATAGTGGATTTTTCTTTCAAATATGAAAAAAACGTATGCAAATAGTGGCTTTGTTTATTTGACATTTTTCCAATACATTACTAAAAACCCGCAAATGAATGGAATGTTATGATTTCTTCCCAAAATCCAGTAGCGAATACTATAAAAATAGGACAAGCGGAAGCTTGGAATCTTACGTTTCCGGGTGAAGAGTACATTTCTGTCTTTATGGTGTTCCTCTGTTGCCCGACTTCCTCACAAAACACACCCGAACAGACTAATTGATAGTTCTACTTTACAGCATTCTATCAATCCATTCTGTTAGATATCAGGAGACATGTGTACATTCGAGCGCACAAGGGATTATAGAAGGCTCCTTCCATATCGAGGAACGTAGACAATGTGTAGCAAGAATTTTCCCATGTTCTTTTCAATGTGTCCGACCACCTCATGGTAGGCAGTATCCACAGATTTGACTTAGATGTAGGCATGTAGGGATTTGCTGATCTTATTTAAATCAATGGAAATTTTCTTAGAGAATTGCATTTATTTTTTTCTTTATTTCATTTAATAATATTAAAGCCTTCAAGGTCAACCATATATTATTACAAAGCTCTTATCAAAGTAGACACTAAAACTGAAAACCTTAACAGACGTGTTTTTATATGTATATATATATATTGGCTCCCCAGTCGTAACTAAAGCTAAAAAGGTAGTGAAAGCAGCAATAGATGCAATTATGTCAATTATAGAACAATAGCAAAAAGGTAAATTTAATACAAATGAGATATATATTTCTCGTTTTAGGTCAATCATGAACAATTAGTATACAACGTAGAACAATATTTTGTACAGGATTCAGCAATCTGGAATAGTGAGGAAATCAAAGCGACAGGCGCTCAAGCAGTGGATAAATCTGTGGCACAATACACGGGTGGCTTACGAAAAGAAGAATGTGAAATACCAATATATGCTGCTGCCGGATTGCCCGAACTTGCCCACGTAGTGATTGGACTTGAAGGTTGTTCTCACCAAGATCCAGATTTTGTTGCACTTTGTGTACTTAATATTATGATGGGCGGCGGTGGCTCATTTTCGGCTGGTGGACCGGGCAAGGGAATGTATTCACGTCTATACACCAATGTATTAAATAGGTATCATTGGATGTACAGCGCCACGGCCTACAACCATGCGTACTCCGATACTGGGCTGTTTTGCATACATGCAAGTGCACCGCCTAGCAATGTGAGAGACATGACCGAAGTTATAACACGTGAATTGGTAAACATGACAACCACCCCTGGTAGAGAGGAGCTGAGCCGCTCAAAGATACAACTCCAGTCCATGTTGTTAATGAACCTCGAATCGAGGCCAGTAGTATTTGAAGATGTGGGTCGGCAAGTGCTGGCAACTGGCCATAGAAAACGTCCAGAGCATTTCATCAACGAGATCGGTAGGTCTGGTAAAAAACATTGAGGTAAACAACTAATTTTTTATAATATTCGAAAATATAGATCGAATAACCGCTGCAGACATTCAGAGAGTCGCCAAGAGACTCTTGTGTTCACCCGTATCGATGGCCGCTCGTGGTGATATCGGTGATTTACCCGATATTAAAGATGTTCAAAATGCTTTACACCGAGATGGACGTTTATCAAGTCGTAGACTTTCGCTATTCAAATAAAGCAGAGGAATGGCTAGTATATATTTCACTTTTAAAAAGTGTCAATAATATAAAGGAGTTAATATAATTTTGCTTGTTTCGACTATAAAATAAATTATTTAGTGTTTTTAATTGAATTGCATTTTTGTTTGTTTTGTAACAATTTGTAAAAAAGTAATAGTAGATTTTCATTGTACCGGATTTTGTTAACCCAGTGGGTTTAAATTCTATTGCATATATGTCAAATAAATTCTCATAAAGTAGGTTAATCTTGTAAAATGTTCTAATGTACATGTCATTTAAACTATATCTCTAACCCTGATAATGTGCAATATCTTTAATTGATGGATCGAATTCGATATTAAATCGAGATAATTTCAAATACAACCTTGCTTTTGAACCAAAAAATGTATCACTTCCAGAAGTGCCAAAATGACAAAGCCATGGCACAATAAATAGGTAGTCCATTTGTATCACTTTCAGAAGTGCTAAAATGTATCACTTCCAGAAGTGCCAAAATGACAAAGTCATGGCACAATAAATAGGTAGTCCATTTAGCGCAGATGATGTCTCGATTAACTGTCAAAGTGGGTAATTTTACTTGAATTCGATGTGCAGTGTTGCCAACCATGTGAAATATTATAAGGAGAAATTTGACAGATGGTCGTGACAAAGTTTTTTGTTTTGATACAGCACCTTTCTATTGCATCAAGGACAAAGCTTTACACTTTAAAATACTTTTTTCAATCAACTCGATTAACGTATGGGTCGATTACGGATGGCAACCAGAGTTTAGTTGCGTTGCCAGATGCCAAATTTGCATTATGGATGGCAACTGTTGTCAACTTCAGTTGCTTCAAATAGAATTTTTCGGCAACCACTTATTTCTGGTTGCTGTTTATAATAACTTAACTTTGTAGGCTCCCCATAATGGTTAATATTACTACAAAAGAACAATCAGAGGACCTTATTGCCTGGATGGAAGCTCACCCAAATGTAGCACGCGGCGTGCGGACTTTTGGTCAAACCAAAGCCACTATCGATGATGTGTGGAAGGCCATTTCAGAAGACCTTAGCTGCTATGGCATTCCAAATGAATGGCAGAAAGTGGCGAACATCTTCTTTTGGGTCCATGATATGTACGTGTGTATCATCAATACATCCGACAACAACCTGGAACTTAGTTTTCGAATAAAAAAAAAATATTCTCCCCTTTTTCCTCCTCCGTTAATTTGGATACAATCAAAATTTTACACAGTTTTTCCTCTATTAGCCGGATAACTTCGGCGAAAATCACCGACATTGTCGGTTGAGCCATGCCAAAGTTGATATCATTGCTATGGGACTTTTGAAAACTTCCCTCCACAAAAAACATCAGAGCTGCACACAGTTTTATCTCTTAAATGCCTTCTAATAAATGACACATCTTGAACATATTTTTCATCATCGAAAAATAGTTCCACTGAGCTTATCATCACATATAATTAGCTTTTCTGATATATCTTATTCATTTTTTTGTTTGTTTACAATATTTCTAGTTGTAGGAATGTCAAAACAGTATTATCAACAGCAACTGAGAAAAGTTGCTATTCATAATGCTAAGTTTTATTTCAATTGCGTTGCCAGTTGAACTCGCAACTGGAGTTTGGTTGCTTTCCGTAATCGACCCAGTAATATTTGCTTGAAATTTGAAAATGGAAGACTTACTGAATACAGCTGAATACAAAATCAAGTTCGAAGATGGGGAAAATCGGTTCCCTGCTTTGAAATTTTATTTATTTCACAAGAAATTATACGATTATACCTTCCACATGACACCACCTTTATTTTAATATCTACAATACGAAAAAAGTTATAGCAAAATTAAATGAGGTATGCAATTTTTATAAACCCATCGTCTGCGCCATCTATTGGTGTCTGTAAGACGTTGCCCATCCCAGTGATCGGTAACAGCAAAATTTTTTGCTTCGGAAATGTATTTCATGGCCTGTAACTTGCTCTATTAACACAAATAAAACGGTATATACAATAGAACTTTTTTATCGGGTTAACCTATTTTGTGAGGATTTATTTGATATAAATGCAAAGGAATTGACAATTGAACCCCACTGGGTTAACACAATCCGGTTAAATAGGACATAGAATCGGCAAATTGTATTTTGAAAACGTTTGTAAGGCAATAACATAAGAATGTATCCTCCTACATAATATTTCAAATAAAACATTTCACATTTTTTTTAAATTTTGAAAAAATCATAGTCAGACTACTTTTCATATGATAAATATTATTACAATACCTCCAGTAGTTCCAAAGTTATGAGACAAAAACCAGGACATTAAATTCTACATTTATGAAATTTCCAGTTACGGCATCAATATATGGCGCTCCGTTCGCCAAATTGTATGGTCGTAAAGGAAATTGAAATCGGTAGAGTAACTTCGGGCAATGTGGACCGCCATTTTCTTTTTTTGATATTGTGGGCGTACCAACGGTAAAAACTGAAAACAAATTGTTTTCACAACATAGTAGATTTGTTGGCTAAATATATTCCAGGTCAAAAATTATATATATTCTTCTATAAAAATGTTATTGCATTATATTTCAAAAAAAAACTCTAAGCTGCAAATAAAAATAATTTGGAGGGTAATGTGGACCAGTATGTGTGGGTAATGAGTATCAGCAAGTTAAAGGTAGGTTGTGGTTGCAATGAATGAATGGAATAGCCCCCATTTAAGGGTACTGCCCCATTTGCGGTATTTTGAAGGTCCTTGCTGCATTATCCAACCGAATTTCGCATATCGAGTTTTCAGAGGATAGAATACCTCCTCGCATTAAAAAATGCACCCAAGTTTCGAACTCGTCGTCATGAAAATGTCCCACTTTTTATAGTGGTCCACATTACACGACATTGAATATTTTTATTTAGAAATAATTATCGGCTTCAAAAATGAATAAAAATTAAAAATCGCCGATTGTAATTACAGGTAAACGTATATTTTTGTTAAAGAAAACAAGAAAAACCACATAACGTCTTTATATTCGAGAAAAAAAACAAAGTGTTCGACCATTTTGCAAAAACGTTCAACTATTGTGCTAAAAAATGTTCAAATCACACTTTAAAATCAGAGCTACATTTTCTACTACTACATTTTCCACATTACAATTATTTATTAAAACCCAATTTTGATATTTGTTTTCACTAATAAGGAAAATATTTATCAAGGCGGCATTGAAATATTTCAAGCATTTTCATAGAATTGGGGGTGGTCCACATTACCGGAAGTTACTCTATATATCTATATGAAATGGAGTAAAAAATATCTGCTTGAATGGATCGATATACAGCCATTAAATTGATGAAACCCGCAATGAACTTTCCTTACAAAGCACGCATTTTAGTTATGAAATTCAATGATTTGGAAGCGTTAATCGTGTGTATGACGATTCATCGTTAAATTATGGACCAAACTGAAGATGTATGACAGAAAAACAAAACACGAGATGTGTGTAAACTGTTAAAAACAGTGTTGCCATGAAGATAATGGCTAAAAAATCACGTTTATAGGTGTATTTGATATATAATGTCATTGTATAATAAAACTGCAGAATTCCCTCTAACCATTGCTGCAAAATTCATAAAAATCCGGAGTTATTCGAATTTCAATTCTACCATGCTCCGAAATATACTTTCTGTTCGATGCTGGGTGCCTATTACCAAATAATGAAAAGCACCACAATCACACCTACATATCAAGCAACAAGAAATTGCACCTTGAACTGCCCTTTGCCCCTACAAATATGCTATAATTGTCATCCAACAGCAGACATTATAAAAACAATTTTTGCCTTTTTTAAAAGGCCGATTTTTGTGTGGTTTTTCATTTTCAGGTAATAGGCGACCAGAATCGAGCAGGAGGTGTACTTCGGTCCATCGTTGAATTGAAATACAAATATCTCGGCAACTACAAAACAGATTTTTATAAAGCTTTCTGTAGTTTTATTACATACTGCCATTCCATATTTTTACAATTATAAAGGGTGATCTTTTAGCTATTATCTTCTTGGAAACACTGTTTTTAACAGTTTACATATATTTCGTGTATTGTTTCACTGCCAAACATCTTGAATAGTCATACAAGCAAACAACCCTTTGAAGTCATTGATTTTTTTAAAATGGTTCACAGCCCGTTTCTTCAATGTTATGGCTGTATAATCGATCCACTTAAGCGGCTATTGCTTACTTTTTTATTAATATAGATATATACCAATTTAAATTTCCTTAACGACCTGGTAATTTAGCGGCCGCAGCGTCATCATAGTTATAAATGAAAAATTTAATGTCGTGGTTTTTTTGTCATAACTGTTGAACTACTGGAGATATTGTAAAAAAAATTTGTAAAATATGAAAGGTAGGAAGTCTGGCTATTTCGTGATTTAATTATAATTAAAATTTAAAAAATATAAAATGTTTTATGTGAAAAATTATTTGGAACCTTAACTAAGTTTTCGAAATGAAATTTGCCGTTTCCCTACCAACGACCAATTTTTTACTTCATTATGATACCTTTCAGGTCAGGAAAGACAGCCCTGACACCCACTTACATTTGTGGTCCCTGGTATTTTTTAATGAATCCACGCCCATATCTGGTCCCTAAAACAATTATGTTTAAAAACTCACGACTTTATGTATTACTCGAAAAAACATTTTTTTAAAAAAATTTTTTTTTCTAAAGTCTAAATGTAATTCCAAAAAAATATTTTTAACAAAATCAGTCTTTTGAAAACTTTCTAAAAATAATGTTTTTTTTTTTTAATTTGCAATTGTGGATTTTTTAATATTATTGTTTCATGCGACTATTTCAATGAACATTGAACCGAGGTAAGATTATCGATGAAAATGGGAACCATTACCGTTTTTTAGCATTTCTTTAAATATTAAATAAGAAGTCTTAGTGTATTTTTATAGCAGTCATCTTTATTTAAGGGCTACCAAATCAGTTATGTTTTTAATTTTTTGAAA